GTGTGTGCGTGTGTGATGGGCGTGTGTGTAATTAGGTAGAAAGCACAGGTGTGAGTGTGATATGGGAGAGGTGTCCGGAGCAGGAGTGAGCAGACGGGGCAGAGCGAGCAGCGATCGGGACAGAGCAACCAGCGCGCACGAGACATCGCGCACGGAGCCTGGCGGAGTGGACCAGAGGAGGAGACACCGGTGACAGGAGGCGTCGTGGGGAACTGGAGGGGGAGAGTACGGCGACCCCCCTCCTCGCAGCTAAGTGGCTTTCCTGTTCGTTGGCGGTGGTTGTGGGAATAAGGCTGTGGCTATTTTAGTTCTTTGGAGTGCTGTGTTCTTTTTGTGCAGCCCCGCTGCTGTGGATCGTTTCGTGCCCTGAGACCCGTGCGCACTGGCGGACGGGAGCGGCGCACCCGAGCAGACCAGGAGCAGCGCGCGCACCGGCTTTTGAGGGGCGCACCACGACGTTCACGACTCTTTTAAATAGCATTTTTAAATTGGGACCCAGTCTTTTATATAATAGAATTAATAATTAATTTTAATTGTGCCTAAATAAAATTGTTATTCCTTTCGATTGTGTTGAATGTCAATTAATAGAGTGCTCCCCATTGGACAGTAATAGGGTTGTACGGGCCCTTCACCCCCGTGACATCTACACCCATTGACACGGGGTCCAGAGTTTCTCCCCCAGAATTTGTTGTGTAATCACACACTATATTTGCAATAGTGTGTTGCCTTCTATACTAAACTCAGCTGTAGACTGAATGAGAAGCAGTTATGTATGTTAACAGAAGATTAATCATCACAATTCATAATTTGCTATTACTTGTGCTTTCTCTTACTTACTTTCCAACTGTTAAAAAAGCTCCTGATATCTTTTATCTTTTTTTGTGGAGGTGGCATTTTTTCTAAATTATATAAGAAGGTATAGACAATCAAAAACAGACATTCATATACATGAACTGCAGAATCATTTATATAACTTGGCCAATGTCAAAAGTTACATAGTATTTCTCAATACAATGAGTTAACAAGAGTTTGGCAATAAGTAACAGTGTGGATTTTTCTATATTTTCTTTTTTTTATTCCACTCTCAACCCAAAAAGGCAAGTAATGACTCACAGGGCTCTCAAGTATGCAAAATAAAAACTTAAATGACCTGTTGTGGTGTGTTTTGCGCACAACCAGCATGCATCGTTAACGCAATGGAAAATGTAGGTATCCGAGCTTTAATTTCGGGAGCGCTGGTTGCGCTTTGGGAAGAGTCAGGGGAGAGACATGTCAGAGACACAGGGGAGAAACGGGGGAGATACGAGGGAGACCCGCACTTGCAACATGGTTCTGTCTGCATATGGTCCGAGCTCGGTACCATGTTAGAGCTGTGCTTTCACTGAGCGCCGCGGCTGTCATTACAAAGCGGCAGCAGCTGCACCAGGACGTGCACATTCGAGTGCATCGCTTGAATGTGCTTAGAGCAAATAACAGCAAGTGTCCGCTGTCACACATTTCACAGAAATTACATTATCAGCAGATAAAGGTTGTAAATCGTGGATCCGTGGAATATTTTCATCCCTAGTTTATCCTGATTCACACAACACACCCACTTATACATTTTGGATAGTAAGAGCACAATAAGTATTTTTTCAGCCTTTCAACCAACCTGTTTCTTTATTGGAGCCAGTTCTGTTCTGTCTCTGTGCCGTGTGAGCTCCTCGGAACATTAAACAGTGCGCTGACAGATTAGAAATAACGTAAGTACTTTGAATGGTAATGGATCTACAGTACTTTCCTCTGATTACTCACGTGCTACAACGCTCAGGGAACGAAAAAAAACACTTGCTTCACGCTGGCTAACTTTTGAAAATTAAACAGTCGCTCAGTGCTTCAGTTTGGCGCTGAAGAAGACAGCCAATCACTGCAGAGAACGGAACGGGTCACGTGCTGCTGCTGCTGCTGTTGCTCTGGAGGCGAGGAGGAGGCGCGACGTATGCACAAACGGAAGACATGTGTCCCGGACCGTCCGGGTCACGGGACATCATGTCATTTTGGTGGGGACTTTTTAGTCCTCACCAAATATTGGTGGGGACATGTCCCCATGGTCCCCACGCAAACCTACGCCCTTGCTAACGCTAAATAATGAAACTCTCAAGTTACCAGCTATCAGCATACACAAGTTAGTACTGAGTAAATTACGTCTGTCAACACATTATGAGATACGATACGCACCTGACACAAAGTGCTCCGAGCATATTCTTGTGTGTTTTGAGGGAGTTTCTTGCCTGTTTATCTTCGCAAGCCATAACCTCCGTGGTTGTTCTGACAAAAGCTTAGTCTTCTCACATTCATGAAGTCTAATGATGGGTATACTGTAAAATCCAAGTTTAACGGAACCTCCGGCACGATTTGAACATCCATTGACCCAGCAGGAGATGACCATTTTCAACTTTATCACGACATTAACACGTTTCAGCTTCTTTTTCTATTGTTTTGCCCACAGCATGCCAACACAAATGGCGCCGGGTCGGCAAATCCCCGTATGTAGTGACGTCATGTGGGAACTATGTATACACAATTATTACCAGAAAAATTACAAAATATGTGAACGTTATACAGCAAGAGCTTTTCATTGTGTTCGAGTGAGTCAAACAGAATTGTGCATTTTTCTAATAATTTTTATTGTAATCAAAACTATTTTGTGCAACAAACTTATTGGGCTGTAAGAAACAACAGTAAAGACTTGGAGGTTTAACTCTGATCTCTTGGTGAAAACAAGACACTGCTAAAATTTAGAAAATGTGCGTCCAGTGTGGAGGACACTGCGTTCAAGCTTCGGCGGTGTGCACTTAACTTAGAGGGCATTATAGTAAGTAAGTACTTACCACACTGTCAATATGTTTTTGAAAACTAAAAGAACGATGAAAATCAAAGTTTCTGACCATTGATTTAAAAAAAGAAGTCATCAGTCCAAAATCTGAAACATTTGAATCAAACAAAATCATATCAGTTTTGCCTGAAATGGAGGAAATTCTGCTGTAACCGGTTTAATGTCAGAGATGCAGTCTGTCGGACATTAGACACAGTGCAGTCTCTAGGTAAACTCCAGCTGGTGGATTGCATCAGTAATCTTATAGGAGATCCCATGGTTTTAGGAGTCACAGGAGGAAGATTCTGGCAATTGTATTGGCAGTATTAGACTTAAGAGTGAATATTACAGACAGTCCCATAAAATAATTTAAATATAAAAAAGACAAGAAAACACAAAAATCTTTACTCTTTTATTGAGGGAGTAACAGACAGAAGCAGCAGGGTGCATCTAAAGTTTCTAAAGCCCCGCGTTTGTACAAAACACAAAATCTAGCACATTTCACCATCATCTTCTACTGTACATTCAAACTGAATGACCGTCTGTGTGCTAACGCTAAACTAACGGAGAAAATATATAGCAAAATTATCTCTATAGGAAAAACAGCAGGTTACTCTTTTAAAAATAGTCATAAAAATTGCTTCTTTTTTCGCTGAGTGATTTATACAGCTCGTGTTGCCTCAAAGAAATGACCTAATGTTGATGTAATGGCAAACTCAAAAAAATAAATATATAATATACAAGTGTCAGTGCGTTTGGACAGTGCTGTGGAAAAGTTGACAGGTTTTTCAGATCCATTCATTATATTTACTTGTGTCAAGCCTGGATTTATTGTAGCTTTGACTAGATCAGTTTCAGGTCCTGGTCCTTGTCCAGACCGGAGAAAATGGTTAAGTCCAGGATAAATCATGGATGTATTAGATTATCTGGATTGGGTTGTGCTAACTTAAACCGGTCTTAAGCTGTTGTTTAGGACTTCCATGCTACAAGATAAAAGTTATTCCAACGTGCTTTACTGCATCTATCTGGAGTTTAAGTTCTATATCTACACAGTCCCATCTTAAAACCCTCTCAACTTTTGCACAGCACTGGTCTTGACATCTTTTATTTATTAGTGTCAGCAAAAGAGAAGAACAGTTAAACACATGCATTTAGTCAAAATTGATACAACATTACAGTGTTTCAATTCAACACCAGTTTTGGAGGAAGGAATGTAGTGGGAGCCAAAAAGAGTGAGAAAGTTGTCAAAAGTGTTTTACGGGGTTTCTGTGACCCACCTGCAGCTGCGCCTCCGTGTGCTATCAACTGCAATACCCACAATGCATTTCACCTGCCAGCGCTTGGCTTTAAGGGAGAGCTCAAAGGAAACAAGAGATAAAAGAAGTGCAATATTATTCTCACAGGACTTAAAATCTCAGTTTCTACCAGCTCTAATAGACCCTACCCTACTATAACCTGACCCGAGTAGAGTAGGGCCAGGTAGGGTTGGTGGAAACAGGGCTAAAGATGGTTGTCACTGTAATTGTCTGTCTTTTTCACTGTTCAATGTAGTTTGAGTGATTTTTTTTTTTTTCCTTGTAATGTAATACCCAGGAATTTCCTCAGAGAGAACCCCTCTTGTGATTTAGGGCGATATCAAAACAAATCAAATTGAATAATACTTTGTCTAATACCATCGGTGAGAAATACTTGCATTTAAATCTCCCCCAAAGTAAAATAATACCAATAATCAAAACCCAACACTGTTTTATCACTACATTTATCACATGTCGTCTCGTAAACAACAAGGAAACATGGCATTCACGGTAGAAGTCACAAAGCAGAATATTTGGACCATAACTGAAGCATATTTGACTGTTTTCATGGGTTTGTAGCTTGTGGGAGAAACGGGGGAGTGGGACGGTGTGCAGAAAGGGTACGATGGCACGATTTTCGACATGTTTGAGTGGAGGGGGAGAGGAGAGAGGCTGAGAAGAGAGGGAGAGAGAGGAGAGAGGCTGAGAAGAGAGGGAGAGAGAGGAGAGAGGCTGAGAAGAGAGGGAGAGAGAGGAGAGAGGCTGAGAAGAGAGGGAGAGAGAGGAGAGAGGCTGAGAAGTGAAGGAGAGAGGCTGAGGAGAGATGAGGAAAGAAGGAGAGAGCGGATTTCTTAGGATTCGGCGACGGCACTGGGCTCCTTCTCATAGATGTAGCTGCCCACGCCACCAGTGTTGACGCCTGCAATGACCACAAGCACAGAGGGACAAAAACAGGGTCAGAAAATAAGGCAAAAATATGTTTAGTAGGAGCAGAGCGTGAGGAGCGAGTGAGAGGGGACAAACTTTCAAAGCAGGTCTGGTTCATTAGGGATTTAATATGTGCACTGCAAGAAATGATAAAATATGGAGGTAATTACTTTTTGAATCGAGAGGTTCTTATCTCAGTTTAAGAACATTCTGTTAAAATAAGAATCTCCAAAAGGACAGAGACATTTAGTCTGTTTTTTTGTATTGAACAGTTGTGTGGGTGCAAAATGTGCCTCAGATTGTGAGATTGTGAGAATTTCAAAAAATCTAAGTTCAAACATGCATAAGTCATGAGGCCAAAATCATAATCAAAATAAATAGTGTCATAATCTCATCTCTATCTTGTCTCGTCCTGTAATTGGAAATTGGGTCTCGTCCGATCTCTAATTTTAACCAAATTACAAATTCTTTTAGATAAATCCCTGCTAACATCTGACTGTCTGCTTTATTTTCTCATTCCAAAAGGAGACAGTTCTTGTGTCCTTTTAAAACAAGATCCTTTTGCTTTGTCCCATTGACAAATCTGGTTCTACTCATGTTAAGATACATTTAAACAATCTTGATACATTTTTGACTTGTTTTTTTAAATCAATTTTGCAGTGTAAGACTTATTTTGTGTTTGATAAATGTGAAGAGAAAGCATTTGTAACTTAAAGCTGGGGCACCTAACTTTTAAAGCACAAAAACTAGCTCCTGGCTCTCAATACTTTTCACATGCATTTAGATCTTTAAATCAGAATTTTCAAATAGAAACATGAAGAAGAGAGAACTGCCCTCACTCAGCCAATAGGCCCAGAGAGTCAATTAGTGACATTTTACAAAAGTCTTTCTGTTGGGATAAAATGCAATATTCATGGACAGAAAAAACAGAAAAGCAACAAAAGGAGTAACATTTTGACTCAAGTATGAAAACAACATTCTTAAGGTTCAAGACTGAAACCTTTGGTTGGATTTGTTCAGAGCATTTTTCTTTTACAAGACCAAAAAGTTAAGATTCCCTTGTTTTAATTTAGCAGCCGTAGCATTGCAATGAACAGCAGCATTAGTAGTATTAGTAGTAGTAGTAGTAGTAGTAGTAGTAGTAGAGTGGATTTGTAACAGAGTGACGTGAGTGCCAGCTGCAGCATTGGTTTCAGTCCACAGACACATGCAGCCTGGAGAACAGAGAAGAGTGAAGAAACAGCGCCCCCTAGCGGTTACCTTTAGGCCCGAACAGAACCGCGTAGCAGGGTTTGTGGCAGTACGGCATCCCGTCGTGCTGCAGAGAGAGGGGACAAGGTGAAACATGAGAATATTCTTGAGCAGTGGTTTGGAAGTGCAATAGCGCCCTCTGCTGGTACTGGTGAAAACCCTACACTGTCTCCCACAGGGACCTGAGTGTGTGAGCATGAGAGGTTCTTATATAAAAACAAAACAGTTGCATATGTTGAGGGATAGATTTGAAAAGTATTTGAATACAAGAAAAAATCTCATATCCTAAAGCACGATCTTTTGGCATCAATCTCATGAACACTCCCGGAGCAGTCATTTGGACAAGTTTTAGTTTTGGAAGCAAAGCTTTTCTTTTTTTTTTATGCGACCGACCCATAGACTGTATATATTAACGGACAGAGTCACGCCTATCTCCGCTGTTCTAACTAATGGGCCCTTCTAATGGGGGTGGACCCAGAAGAAGGGTCCACCCTGCAAGCCTGTCAGCGCACGTCATTTTGGCCACTTTTGAGCCGGGACCCGCCCCCACTGGACCGACCCAATGTACTTCTTTATGATGCTATATTCAGCGATTTTATACTTTATACTTCCTGGATCATTGAGCTAGCGAGTTAGCATTATCCATCTATATTCAGTCTCTGGTTGAGACAGTGTGAGCTCGCACCTCTGCATGGCTCCCAGGCGCCAGAGTTTTGCTGCAGCGTTCACATCTGAGACACGGTCGGTGCCAGTCCTTCCCCAGAGACGTCACCTTCTCCGCTGCAAAGCAAGGCAAGTTTATTTGTATAGCACAGTTCATTCACAAGGCAACTCAAAGTGCTGAACAAAAGAGGATAGAAACAATAGAGTAGATTTTTTTTTTTTCTGCATTAGCAAGAAGCCAATTTCCACGGCAACAAAATTGAACAGGTCAACCACATTTAAATATGCAGATGTGCATTTAATAATCATGTTTATAAATAATATAAACCAGCAAAAAACACATTTTCCAACATGTCAAACAATTTGAAACTAAATATTTCAGGATTTCACTCTGACAGACTCACAATTTTCATTGTGAGTCTGTCAGAATCATTAGTCATTGCTAGTGGGTTAGCATCGTCCATCTACAGTACATACAGTCCGAGTCCAACATCAGCCTACTTTAAAACATTATCACCATTTTGCTTTTTCTCACTCACCAAAATAGACCTTCTTGTTGCATTTGGGACAAAGATTGGCCTCTCCAGAGAACGTGGTGAGGCCGCCGGCTGCCAACACAAATCACACAATTCTCACTTGAGATAAAATAAGCATAGTGTGTATATATGTGATATCTCCTGAGTTGTGTTTTGAACGGTCAGACAGAATGTGTTTTCCAATATTTCCAACAATTTTCACCACATTTATTTTTTGAAGCAGAACTTGCGAATATGTATGTACCTGTATCCTTGTTTTTTTTTGTTAAACAAGGATTTGTATTTGTATTGGGACGGCAGAGATACAGTTCACAGCTTTATCTTTCATTGACTGGAAAACTTTGATTCAGAAATCCTGTAGAAGGTGTTCCCAGCAGTTTAGGGTGTGTGCGTTTTCTCTCTGTGCGTGTGTGTGTGTTTTCTGTGTGCGTGTGTTATCTCCGAAGTGTCCTGGTCACACAGTTTTATCAATTTTAAAACAGTTCTGGATTTTGTCTCTAACGACAGAATCAGAGCCGGAAAAGTCTGGTCTATTTTTTTCAGCCGTCATCAGTTTCAACAGGATGATATCAAAAATGACGGACAATGATTGCAATAAAAACAAGACTATGTTTTCTTGTAGTTTGACATAAAAACACAGTAGTTTTTGACAAATTCATCAGATTTTAAATGTTGGCGTTTTCCGTCTGTGGGACCTGAGGGTTCAGGTTTAGACAGAAGGGGCGGAGTTACATGTTTGGCAAAAAATCCGGTTTTTAACTAGGATTAATCTAAAAACTCTGTGGTTGTTAGAGGTGGGAAAATGTTTCGCAATTCTTTGCTCATGCAACTAAATGAATACAGTAGAACAAAATATTGACATTGAATCCAATAATTAGGGTTAGAGTTAGTGGTTGTGTGGTTGTGCAGTGTGGTTGAACCTTTAGATGGATTCTTGGGCGCGAAAACCTTCTTCTCTTGGCTCTTGGGAGCAGAGTCCACACTGGAGTTATTATTCACCGGAGCCTCGTAGATGTAGGAGCCGGCGCCGCCGATGTTCACTCCTGAAGACACAAAGAACAGGATTATTTTGTGGCTTTCCTTGAGGTTTCTAACTTTCTCCCAGTGGGATTTTGAGGCGTGCCACACAGAAGCAGGAGAGTCTAGACCAGACATGTTAAACTCAGGCTCATTGGTCAAATCCAGGCCCTCAAGAAAATGTTTAGTGGCCCCTAAAATGATTTTCAAATAATATTATTAACTTGTAGCATTGATGGTTATGGGATAATGAGGCATGTATGAGCAGTTGCCACAACTGTACACGCCACAGAAAAGCTCTGACTCTGAATCAGTGAATATCTACATTGTTCTTAACGGGGAGATTTACAACTCCTCAAACTGGTGTCTTTAAAACCAGCAGTTCACCTTTTGGTCCAAAGAGGGCAGCGTAGCACGGCTTGTGGCAGTAGGGACGTCCATCATGCTGCGGAGACAAAACAAAGACATGTTTATCAACACTAGAACTCTCAGTGCAGTCAATTGCTGAATTTTGTTTAGAACATTTAGAAGATGTTTTGATGGATATTCAGTCTTCCTCAACTATGATGTGGTATAGAAGAACTCAATACTTTTAATTCTACTAAGAGGACAAGATGAAACTTCCTAAACTAAGATTTTAAACAGTTATACTTGTTGTGTGGTTATTGCAGATCGAGGACAGATTCCAAAATGGTTGAAATCAGTAGAATGAACAGATAAGCACTTAATGTACTCATTTATTGTGAAAAAAACTGATCTATTTATACTGTATACATAATAGATGAATTTTGCAGTTAAATGCATGCTGGGTCTAATGAAGCCCCCATGTTGTGAGGTGACGTCATCATTGCAGGTTCCCATGGAGACGGGCTCTTTCTGCCTCAGCGGAGACAAGCCCCAGTGCATGATGGGAAACGCAGGGCTCCAGACAAAACGTTGTGATTGGTCAGAAGAGGGAGACCCTCATTGGGGAGACATGGACACGCCGTGAGGAGACAAGGAGGAGACAAGTACACTTCAGGAGGAACAAGGAGACAAGGACACTTCAGGAGGAGACAAGGGGGAGACAAGGACACTTCAGAAGGAGACAAGGATGAGACATGGACACTTCAGGAGGAGACAAGGAGGAGACAAGGACACTTCAGGAGGAGACATGAACGCACAGTCTACGCACAAGCAGGAAAGCTCATGTCCACACTGCGTACATTATGACCACGTTACGGCTCACAGTTGCTTGAGCCACTGTCTATACCACAGAACGGCTGCAGTTTCTCCGGGGACAGAACGGAAAATAGGGGGCGCCCCACAATTTGAGAAGGATATTTGTAAGCCAATATCACTTTTAGACTAACCATGGTATTATATTATCTGGTGTATTACTAGCTTATAGCTGCCCCACCCATGGGCACAGGGGGTGCCCGCGGTGCTGCTGACCAAATTCACGTGGGCTGCCGAGAAAAATGTCCCATAGAACTCAATGTAAACTAAAATAGCTCAACCTCAGCTGACAGAGAACCTACAGCTTTCATAAAGGTCTGAGTTTGTGGAGATTTGTCCCTTCTCTATCCTGAACTTTTTCTTGTAGATTTATAGAAAACCGAAGGATTTCACACTGTAATGCAACAAACTCTGCTCGTTTTGCTCCCGTTCTAGCTCCACTCTGATCAGCAGCCGCACACACGCATATTTGGCGCAAAGCATGATGGGAGCTCGTCTACTGCGCATAACCTGGAGGACCAGACAATGCCCAAATATGGTCAAGTACTGCCAATCTTTCTGTCACATAAAGGTCCCATGCACCACTGAGCAAAGCCATTGAATTGCATTTTGTCAGTCCACTCCTCATATTTCTGGGTTGCAATCAGTGACCTGAAGGGGGCGTGGCAAGGGGCCGGAGGGTATGAAGAGTCTCTCTTCTATTAGTTAGACATGGAAATGTGGAAAAAAGGGCACATGGGAGCTTTTCACGGGATGGTGTTAGTTAAGTGAAAACTATTTTCAACACAGCGTACGGCGTGTATAGTTGGACTTAATTCATAATTTCAACAATGAGGAAGATGAAGCAGCTTTTATAGCAGTGACAGTAATGTCACGCTGGGATCTACAGAACCACGTCCTAGATGACACTTCTGATCAATAATTACATAAATAGTATATAAATGTTTTCTTTAACAAGATTCAAGGCCTTGCAATGATTTGTGCTACGCAGATGCTAACCAGGCTAATGCAGTTTGACATCTGTTAGAGAAATATATTTCAGTAAAATAGACACTGCATCCGTTCTCTACTCGATACAAGCAGTGGCCACTTCTGTACACTACAGAAAATCAGCATTTTGATTCAGTATCAGTGATTTACATGGTTCTTAATGGAGAGATTTACTTCCTGTCTCTTGAAGGACTTTCACGCCACAGCTGAAGCCCAGTGATAGGGTCTTTGTTAAAAAGTCAAAAAAATATTTTGCCAAATCTCTTCAGTCTTGGTGAGCATTGACTGAGCCAAACACTTCAGTCTCATATCTCTGTACTCTTCTGTGGAACGCCCGGGTCACATTCTCTATGCTGCAGTGGCTTCTGTAAAAGGACTGGACATGTTTCCTCTGGACTGTGGCCCTGCTCCAAAACTCCATAACAAACATGATAAGACACGACCCCTGGCCCCCAAAGAGACGGGGGCGAGGTTAAAGCAACTGTGAGTCAAAGTCATTCACATACTTCAACTTCAGAAACAGATGACTTAAAACTAAAAGCACCCATCTTTAAAAGCACAAAACATGTAGCAGAGTGGTTATCAGCTCCTGTTCTGTCTCTGAAGTCTACTTTGGTTGGCGACGTTTCATTCACAAACGTATCATGACTTAAGAACTTTTAACCCTCCATGTTTGATACTTTTGCAGTCTCCTCGATGTCTGTAGGTGGCACTGCAGAGCAAACTAATGTATTATCAGTCTGTGAACAACCCACTCCTTTCACAGCAGTAAATCTCCAATGTCACAGTTTCGAACACGACACTGGGTTTGGTTTCTGGGAAGAAACTGGAAAATCTTTTTAAACCATTAACACTGACTGTAGAGTTGGACCAGCAAGAACCACACCATGTTACTATCATCATCTACAAATGTGTGAGGGTCTGTATCATAGACTGTAAAAATTAACGGACAGAGTCACGCCTATCTCCGCCGTTCAAACTAATGGGCCAAAAATAGTGCTCTACTGGAGCTATCCAAAATGGCCGCGAGTGGTCCCGCCCACAAGAAAATTGTGAAAAAACGCATCTGCGCATGCGTCAGCCGGCGCAGCTCCATTCATTTGAACGAGAGACTTCCAAAATTCACAGCGAGTGGACCAAAAAATCCACCCCCCTCAGCATTGACACACATGTGGAACGGAGCTTTGGGCCAAGAGCCAACTTTTGGTCCATCCTGTAAAGACGTTTTCGAGAGGTCTGCCAATGTTATATGTTAGCATTGGCTAATTCTTCTTCTGTGTCCACCCCCATCGGCCCGGGTGGTATTGCAAGCATGTCAGCGCACGTCATTTTGGCCACTTTTGAGCCAGGACCCGCCCCCACTGGTCTGTATCTCTGGACCATAGACTGTATATAGATGTACAAAGCTAACTCGCTAGCTCAATCAGGCCCAATAGGCAAGTGCTAATGGACAACGTTTTTTTCCAACTCACTCTGGCTACTACATTCGCAACACATATGCCCCAATTTCGCCGCAAATTCTGCATGAGGCAGATTTATGCAGCTAAAATCTGGAACAGTCTTCCTGAAAATGTGAGAGAGGCAATGTTCAAATCCAGGTTAAAAACGGTTCTGTTGAGCTGTGCTACAACTGACAGAGTTTATTTCTATTTTTAATGCACTGTGGTTATTTACTGTACTTTTTTATTCCCTTGTGTGATTTTAATGTTTTTTTTTTTTTTATTACCTGTGATTTTTAATTGTGTTTTAAATGATTAAGGGATTCTGGACTTCTATGTGATGATTTGTGCCTTGTGTGAAGTGGACTGTGAAGTGCTTTGTGTTGCCCTGTGTATGAAGGCCCTCTACAAATAAAGATTGATGAAGAAATGGGTTTTTCACTTGTCAGTTCCCCAACCAGTGGAGATATGAGTATTGTCATATCTGTTGTTTAGACCCGTGAGAGAAAGACCAGAGAGAGAACCGAGAGGGAGACCAGAGAGGGACTATGACAACAATATATTATTTTTGAGCCCTCTCACTTTGCACCCAGAGATAAAGGATGCCTGTTCCAAATACATTTCTGAAAAACAGTATCATTTGTAACTTTATTTGTATAATGAAATCTATGTAGTTCTTAACTGCAAAAAGACATCAGCTTTCATTTCCACAACAATTTCATCTTGCACTTTATTCAAAAGCACTAACACTTGTACATTAAACTTTACTCTCAATGAAGTAAAAATGCCAGAGGACAGCGCTGCATTCAGACGCCTCATATGACTGTCCCAGATCGAGATAAACCTATATTCATGTGAGGGCCCCAGGCGTAGGAGCCGGGGCCGCTGCAGAGACCGAGGAGGCGGGTTCAGAGACTAACAAGGTGCACTACTACTGTGTTACATAATATGAGTGTGGAGGCGACTGTGGTGAGGCACGACAACAGAAGCAAGCATCTAAAGTCCATCATTATACATCAGCTCCTGCTAAGTCCAGAGATGACTAGTGTTGTCCTGGAGGGAGTTCTCAAAGTTAAACCAAATGACAGGCACGTAAAGTAAGAATTCATAGAAAAAGAACCATAAAACAGAGAGAGAGAGACAGAGAGACAGAGAGAGAGAGAGAGAGATAAAGGCAGAGAGAGAGTCAGAAAGACACACAGACTCCAGTGCGACCGACCCACCCTGGTGAAATTCTTAAATAATCATAAATAACATGTGTTTGTCGAGTCTTTCTACAGGGAGATGACATTAGAATGAGTGATTTTGTTATGTCGTGTGTGGTGCCTTTACCCACCTCCGCATGGCCACCGGCATTCAGCAGCTTGTTGCAGCGGTCACATTTTAAACACAGCTTGTGCCAGTCTTTCCCCAGAGACGATACTTTCTCAGCTGCAAAAAGGGGACAGAAGAAAAAACAGGTTGAGGTCGTAGGTCATTGTAAACAAGGGGAGTTTTTACAATAATAAAGACTTCGAATTGGTACAAAAGACTTTCAAGTCCCAGCACAGTGCACCCAGGACCAGAGAGAGACCAGAAAGGGAGAAAAAGACCAAAGGGAGAGACCAGAAAGAGAGAGACCAAAGAGAGCGTGAGAGAAACCAAAGAGAGCATGAGAGAAAAGAGAGAGAAGAGAGGGACCAGAGCGAGGGATCAGACGCTATAAAACAGTTGTGTCTAAATTACCACTAAGCACCACTCTGAAAGAAGGCTAAGTTGGAAAGCGGGTTAAATACAGAGTCGTTTTGGCGCACAGCTTGCTCAGTGCGTAGGGAAAAGCCTTCCGAGGATCTTAGTTTTAAATTCCAACTTTTGCAGTGCAGTGGGAATGAGGCTATAGACTTTCTTCATCAAAGTCCAACATTCACCGCAAAGACTTATTGTGTCCAGGATCAGAAACATTTGCATTTTCACAATCGTTTACGCATTCTTCAAACGTCACTTGTATAATTATTACATCCTTTCTTCTTCTGTGGTCGACGATGCTTTTGTCGCAGTTTATTTGGGAAGAGGAAGTGAGTGGGACCCAGACTTCCTGCTTCCCGTCCTTGTAGATAAGAGCAAGTTTCCTGCCTCCATTTGGTCCATTGTATGAACTGTGGCCTGGTTATTGTGGGACCCTTGGGTGCTGATGGGTGAGGATGGGTGGGGGTGAGGAGGGGTCTGGGGCGAGGAGAGGAAATGGGGGTCGCTGTAAATCCAGTACAGTTTTGCACAGTGAAGATCAATGATAGATGCGTATAAAATGGAACATGTAGTAGTAGTGGGTTGATTGATAGAAATCCAGAGACTGAATCAGAAAAACACATCCAAAAGCCTCAAATACTGACTCGCAAGGATCTTTTCATAGAGGCAGACACACACACAGTGAGAGAGAGAAAGACACACACAAAGACACACAGAGACACACAGAGACTAAATTAAGTTTATTTGACGTGAGTTTGAATAGTATTAAAAGAGGATTTGGAAACAAACAACACAAGATAAATGAACATTAAGTAAAGCACAACCCTTTACCTAAACTCCATCTCATAAATACACACACATACATAGCTCCATACATATTGCTTGCCTTTCATTCTACTCTCACAATCAACACAAAGTGCATTATTTTGGTCCAATACTGTAGTTTCCCTGTAACAGCAGCAGCAGCAGACAAAGGATTGAGGTTATCCCTGGGCAGCGGGCACACCCCTCCTCTTTGCCCCACTGACATCATCCTTAGCGTGGCACAGGCTGACCCCCCCCTCTCCCCCCTCTCCTCCCCCTCCTCCATCTGCCCTGGGACCACCTCCTCCCCTCTCTCCATCACTCATCTCGCCCAGACACCACTCCGTCCATCTCCCATAGAAACACTACAGTGGTCTGTAAGTGATGACATCACCGTGACTCACACACACACAACAATGGAATTCAATATTAACCGATTGTCTGCGTTTTGGCACCGTGTAAAGACTTATTCCAACCAGAGCAGAGAGAGGATTCTACATGGCTTTATGTGTGTGACTGCATTCAATGGGTTTTGTTTATGTGCCTGTAATTTCACATTTCCCTGTAATTTCACATTTCCCAACCTTTATTGACATTGGTCATTTGCCCTCTTAGTCTCTCTCTCTCTGCAGTCTCTCTCTCCAGCTATTCTGTCTGCAGCACGTGCAGGAAAAAAGTTTCCGCGATGACTCTCTTGCGTGATCATCACCCACAACTCTATAGCCATTGCTAGGTAAGCTAACGTTAAAGTTTTAGCTGAAATAAATGATGAGGGAGACTTTGGAAGCTTGTTAGGTTCACTTGTGTTTTTTTTTTTTCCGCTGGTATGTTATTTCATGATACACAACTATCATGTTATTTCATGATACACAACTATCATGTTATTTCATGATACCAGTTTATCATCAAATAACATGATACTGTAGATACAGAAGAAGAAGAAGCTGTCAGCTTCTTCTGATAAATTGGTATCATGAAATGACATGATAGTTGTGTATCATGAAATAACATGATAGTTGTGTATCATGAAATAACATGATATTTATCATGATATCAGCGGGAAAAAAAGACACTCACAAGTGAACCTAACAAGCTTCCGTAGGAGACCTCAGGCTGAGACTGAGTGAGCAAAAACATTTGTGTGATTATTAGTCTTGTCAATGTTGTTAACGTTAAAGTGCAGCCGCAGCCTAAATGCAGCGAGTTGCCCATTAGTAGCTAATACACTAAGCTAAACAGGTAAACAGAATAAATGAGACGTGGAAATGAAGACGCTAGTTGAAGGCACAACATCATGCATTTTGTTTAAGCCATTTTAGTGACATTCACTACGTGTATTATGTTACTTGCTGCTAACTTTTGTTCAGTTTTTTAAAACTATCAGTTTCAAGTAAGGACTATCAATGCTTTCTGAACATATTCACTGAACCTAAGAAAAATACAGCAATAAAACTGAAAACCGTGAGGTTACATTTTCATAGCTTGACAGCCCTAGTTGTAAAAATATACATTTTATTGAAAAATCCTTCCTGGTAACTAAGATAAGTGTCAAAAGTCTTAAAATCAATAGCTAATTTCTCTGTTATCAAAGCAAGCGTTTGTCTCAGGTTTTGAAGTGCTTTTTAAACAGATGCTGTGAGATGTGGCAGAGAGGAGATCCAAATGTTTATTTTTGGAGTCTCTAAAAAACCTGTGAGCTTTAGCATTTATCACATGAAGAGCGACAGAAGAAAGAAATTGGTTTGGGAAAGTGGAATAAAACTGAGCTGTTAAACATATTTACTCCGATTTATGGCCTAAGGAAATGCATCTAATTAAATTCAAGTTTGTATCGCATTTAATCCCAACAGCCGTCGTCTCGCAGGACTTTAATTCTCTGATCTGTTGTTTAGGGAATCAATGAGTTTGTAAACAGTTCAAAAACAAGAAATGCAAAAATAACGAACACAAAGAGACATTGCTGCAAAGGGAGCAGGATGACCACTGCCCAGAAAGGTCCTGGATCATCATCACTGTTCTGCACTGACAAACAGCCAAAAAAGTGAAAACATTTTGCAGGATATCTTACTTTCCCCTGCACCAGAACAGCATCGGCTTCAAACTACTTTCGAGCCCCTGAGCACTTCTAGCCTCTTCTTCTAATCAAAGTAATAATATTGTTCATTCAGACTAATAATAAAGATCTGGAGATGGGTTTTGCTCCAGAACTTTATTTGCACCAAAATATTCATGCAAAAATATCTAAAAGTAAATAAAAATGCATTTTTAAATACATATTAAAATTGTGATGATACGACACATGGTGAAACTATGGCAAATATTGCTGCTGGATGTGAGGTCAAATTTTCATACCGGGACTGCCCTAGATGTACAAAAATAAATTAGATTTCAAAATCCTTCCTGTAACGACGATAAGTGTCAGAAGTAGGCCAAAGTAAGCCCAGTCGGTGACATGTACAAAAGGTCATGTAGACTAGAGATCAAAGCTTGAGATTGTGATTGGGGCTTGCAGATAAAGATACACAGACCAAACATACGCAAGACGAGGCTCAACCAGAACCATGATGGGTTTATTGCATTTTTACACAAGTTCCCGCTCACACATTCAGCCAGCTTTAAATACTCTTGACACGCTTTAAACACTTTTAACACCTGGAGACTGTGTGAGACAGAGACACATCTGTAAAAATAGACTTGTGAATGAGTCGCCCTGTGCAACACTGTGTGGTTCAAGTCTGGATGGCTGCTCCGTCAGTGAGAGCATAGCCTTGATCTTTCAGCGGGAGCTTCAGCAAAGTGGGGTTAAGTGTTTTGCTCAAGGACACAACCACAGCACCTGACCTTCAGGCTCAAAGGCCAATGCTCAACCAAGTGAGCCCGCGTTGCCCCAACAATCACTTAAGCAAATACAACATGTAGATGAAGTTGAATTAAGTAAAGAGAATTTAGTCCACATTTCTGTAACTAAAATACATTTTGATGAGTTTTCCTGTCAGAGTAAAACAAATCATAGTTATCAAAAACAGACGTACATATTGTTGATACACACTGATTTTATCTTCAGTCTCTTCTTCTCTGCCTTTTTAAACACATGTACTGTTTCCAAGTTAGTTCTACGTTCTCCTAGGGGTATGACCCTAACCCAAACGTGTTAGTTTGACGGAATCAAATCTAAACTGAACCATAAGGTAAAGAAGGCTTGTAATTATTTTTTATTCATTTAAACCATTTCTAATAAAGTGTTTTGTTCAAATGTTAGAAATCATGTGGTTATTTCACTCACACCGAGACTCATTCCAAGCATAAACAACTGTAAATATTGTTTTTCTCTGAAGCTATAATCAGTAACATTTACATTAGTTAACTGATGTTAGCAGATGTTAAATCAAATTCATTCTGTCGTTATTAATAAAAACAAAAGTTTATGAATCTATTTGCTGTGCGCTAACCAATGCGCTACCCATAAATTCCACCAGAGATTAATGTTGCGCACACACACACACACACACACACACGATTGTTGAGCCGGTCACTCATTCTTGTAAGAAAGGACCTCTTCTAAAGAGACAATCCATCTCTTCGGGGAGATCCATAAATAATAGATAAAACATGTATATGTATAGCACGGTTTGTAAACAAGGCAATACAAGTTGAAATTTCCCGTTATGCTAAAAAAGGCTTAAGCCATCATTGTTTTGTTGCTCTTTTTACAGGACGGGAGGTTGTTTTTGTAAATTTGTCTTTATTAAGAAGTGAGGGAGGGGTGAAAGAGGGAGGATGGAGGGGTGAGGGAAGCTGTGGGGGAGGACAGGATCTAAGCTTCAGTCATGTACAGATGTGGTCAATCCTACATTATCCCCTGGACAGCACGAAAACCACTCAAATATCAACATTACCAGAGG